TCTCTCTCTCTCTCTCTCTCTCTCTCTCTCTCTCTCTCTCTCTCTCTCTCTCTCTCTCCCTCTCGCTCTCTCTCGCTCTCTCTCTCTCTTTTTCTATTTCTTGCCACGATATCGAATACACACAGCCCGCGAATAGAAGAGTCTCTTGTCCGAGCTTCTTCGTTTCCGAACGTCATCGATCTCCGCGCATGTGAACACCACACACGCTTCAGCAGTCTGACGGCAAGGAAAACGCGACACGAAACAGGAAAAAGGAAAACGAGTGAAGGTTTCGATGCGTCCTGGCTCGTCGTCTCGAGAAATCGAGTACGCACGCTCGTTGACGGAAGCGAGGCAGATTCGCGTACAGGACTCACCTAGGGACGATCCTCGTTCCGCTGTTGTCGTTTAATGTTCCTTTGCGAACGGCCATCAAAAAGAGAGAGAAAGAGAGAGAGAGAGAGAGAGAGAGAGAGAGGGATGGGGAGCGTCAACCGACGAGAGAAAGAGCTTACACGTAGAGTGTGTCTAAGCCGCGGTCTAAGTACGGTTTAGAAGCTTAAAGAACCCGATATATGTATGCAGCACCAGTGCATCTCGGTGGGCGTTCGAGCGCGAGGCTAATTGGTGTTGGGAAATTTGTCCCGGTGACAGAGTGAACGAACCGAGAATATATTCCTCGCTGAGGGAAGAAGGGACGAAGAGCCAGGAAACGATTAAAGGAGGCTCCGAGTGTGTGTTATCATTTTATTTGATCGCGTACACCTCGCTGCGAGCTGTCCAAGTCTCGAGGCAATTCGAGGTAAACGGGAACACGTACCACGGGTGTTGTTGTCGATGGTGTAACGAGAGAGTTCAGACAGTCTATTTCTGCGGTTTCACGATTTTTCTCCTTACCCGTTTCTTTACTCTCTTCCTTCCTTTTGCCACGGGTCCGATCTGGTCCGCGAGACGTCGGCGTTAACGATTTGCCCGCGGCTTGTCAGCGATGCCATACTCTTCGAAGCTCTGTTTCTTGTCCTGACTCGCGATCGATGTCACACGTGTGTTCCCATGAAAAAGTCCCCCGTCACGAGAGAGTATCGTAATCGCGTTTCCAGTTCTGGCGTTGGCAGGACGCGTGGATGGTTTTACGCGGCCCGAACCATCGATGATTTGTGCGTGCACGTAAAGGATAGACGGGAGGTGTGCGAGGATTCAAGTGTTACGTAGGAAAGTTTTTTTTTTTTTTTGCTCTCGTGTGTTGTGAAAGAAGAAGGTGGGGGTGTCCTTTTTGGAAACAACTGAGAAATTTTGCGAGCGAATTTCGGTTGCTCGGGAACCTCCGATTGGTCCAACCGCTGAACTTTGCGACGAGTCAGTTCTCTCACTCGTGGCCGTGTGCACGCATTCGAGTATCGCGGTCTTCCTGTTCAACGTGTGATTTTGACGTTCAAAGTGAGACGACGGTGGAAGGGAGCCCGCAGTTTCAACGAAGCCGCGTCGTTAAAGGGCGCCTCGTCACATCGTAGGATTCGCTACGTTAATCAACTGGTAAGGTGAATTCCCTTTGCTTTACGAGCCGTCGCGTCGGGCTGCGACACGCTCTCGCCTCTTTTAACGCGCAGTACTACCGGATAAGGTGGATTATTTCGAAGGCGATTGTTGTTACGTAAATACTGCATGATTTATGTAATGGCACGGTGTAATGGGTTATCGTTGCGAAAATTATATTCGAATAGTTAACGACGACTAGAAGTACCGTAGTGTGATTTACTCGGAACGTTTATTTCGCGCAACAACCGTTCGAACGTCTGTTTTATAGACGATCCTTTTGGCGATTCAAATTTTTGTTCGATGAAAGTAATATTCAAGGAAAGTATTCGATACATGAAATATTCAAATGAAATTTTGCACATCTTTTATTCGTATTCTAAATTTCTACTCGAGTAAAAAGTTTGTCCTGGTTACGAGTTGACGAACAATACTTGGTTCCAAGCACTGAATCTATTGTTAATACGTTAAGCTTCAAAGTGTACAAAAATTTTAAATCGATTAAAAGATTTTAAAACATGAATACATTGTTTTCAAAGCACTTTTCGAATCTATGAAAAACATATCATTCATCTCGTATCAACAAATTCGTTTCGATAATAACATTGTAGTAGCGTCGTTTCAACTAACTTGGATACGTTCTTAATGAAATAATATTGTCTAATGAAATTTGACCCTATAATCACAAAAACAATCATTAACTTAATCATTAGACTGTAGAAGATTATGCATTTAATAGCAACTGGAAATATGGAAAAATGTACGAGGATGTGCACAAATCGAAAAATATATAAAATATCAATAATTAAGTATGTATTGCAATATATAGAAGACACAAGATACTTTTATATAAATTTATGTATTATTAGAAATTATATATTAAAAGGAAACTTGAAAATCTCCATACATTCCAATATGTCTCAGGCTCGAATAGGTTGATATATTATGGTCAGAAAGCACTTGGGAGAAGTGTGGCTAAAATAATTCGTTGCTGCCTTCGATAAGTCATTCGAACTGATTCGATATTCGTGGTTACTGTAGATTTCGTAGCGATACCACGAATTTTGAGGCAGCTGCATAATTCATGACGGTCTGCCATTTCCTTCTCGTCCATCATTTTGGATCTCTTTACTGCCCTCACCCCCTAATCTCCTTACAGTTCTGCTAAAGCTTCTCCGAGATGAACGTAATAAGAAAAGAAGAAATATTTCTTGACGATGTAATTGCACGCCTGAGCAATTACTACATTTTCGTTCGAGAAATAAAATCAAGCAAACGTAAGGGAAATATCGTACGTTTGTGCAATAATTCACGTTAAGGGAATTTAAATTCTCCAATCGAGGAGTTGGCTTGTCGCAGAGAAAATTATTCGAATAAATTGCTCGATACTCGATGGCTCTTATTATTGGAAGCGTATCGATTAAACTTATGATAGAAACATTTCAAGTAGTCCAACTTCGTATTTATCTTTCAACGGAAGCATTAGTTTTATAAAACACTTTATCTTTTGGAGCGTAGGCTTCGTATAAACGAACGAAATATTCGATAGAACACTCTTTCATAAGAAACTTTATATTTTCAGAATTGTAGATATTTTCGTGGTCATGAAATTCCCCTAATAAAGTTCCCACGAGTCAGTTTCCCGCGGTGTGTACTTTTGTTGAATATTGTTTACTATGCAAACCGTCGCGTGGTTATGCATAATAATATACATTTTGACGTGTGAGGTGGAATAATGAGAATACATATTTACGCTAAGTCGACAATTCCAGCTTGATATTTCACTTCCGAGCGAATCGTTGGGGGTTTGTTAACTGTTGCCTGCTGATTTATATCGGGTGTTTTTTTCATAGGGTCGTAACTGCGGTTAGGCGTTTCGTAGCGTTGCAACGTTGCGCGGAACAGAAGCAGTTAAGTTGAAATTACCGTCTCGTAATGGTACCCGGTAAATCAATAGCAGAAGTAAATTAAGATTTATTGCTGCCTTGAGCTACAGACGATTTGGGAATATTCGTTTGGGTTAGACCTGCGTGAGCATCAAGTTACGTAGCTTACCCTTGACATTCCGAGCAGTTGTTTCATCGCAGGACATGTATCTTCGATACAAATCATTGCTAGCAGGAAATCGATTTTAAATTATTCAGAAAGTATAATTTTGTTGTGTTGTATCGAACGAGAACGGGGAACGTACGGGGTTCGTTACTTATCGATAGAATGTTTAGACCCTTGAGGTGCGTGATCCACGTCAGGTGCGAGTAAGCCTTAAATAGCTGAAGAAGACATTTAGAAAGAGTATAGAAGTCCCAAGTATCCTTAAAGAAACAATTTTCTCTTTTATGTATATGGAACAGTGATAGAATGTATAGTTAATTATTTAGTGATACTATATTTAAGTCTAGAATCTAGAATACTATATTTAGCGAGGGTCCGTGATCCTTTCTAAGTATAAGTACAATTTAATAGCGAATAACGAGTGAAGAAATTAAGGAAGAGTATGAAAGTCCTGAGTGCCACTAAACGAGCAATGTTAATGTCAATAGTAAGTGTAATGTCTTAGGAAGACAATAAAATAGAATTATTCCAAATTCAGGAAACAAAAATAATCGAACCTCTTCATGGTTATTGAGTGGATCTCAGTATGAATTCTTTTTGTACAAGCAACGTTAAAGAATGATTTATAGTTACATTTTTATTATTGATTGACGTAACGAAACAAAATTTGACTTGGTTATATATAATATACGTACATGTCTTCAATGTATACAAAAACAAGAGAATTCAAACTTCATATTATTATTAGATAATTCAATAATGCAAATTGAAATATTGTATTTGTGCACATTCTCATAGATATCTCCATACTTTCGCTTGCTATAAATGCATAAACCTCCGCAGTCCACTTGTGAATAATATGAAAATTAATAAGAAAGTCAATCAAAAATCTAGGGGAAAACCGAAAGGCTTAACCGAAAGTATCATTTTATTCATAAAGTATTTCCAACTCGATCCAGCTTGTGTTATCATTAACGTTTCCTTAGTTACAAGAAACCGTTCGGCTTTGATTCTCAAGAGACCATGACAGACCTAGAGTCACTTGAGCTAGATAGCGAAAATAGTTGGGAAACACTGTGTACTATGACGTATCAAGCGCAACGCGTGCCCAAGATGGAATGCTTGAATATGTATAAATGCCACTGGCATCGTTTTTCTCTTTCGCGTTCTAGAATACCTTCAACGTTTCGATCTCGAAGTCACATAGATAACTGCACTGCGCGTTATTCGATATAATCGGCGAACAGCTTCAATTAGATCCTCCCTTGTATAGAACAGTTGGGAATGACATTAAAATGGCACTAATCGTGCTTCTTAATCCCTAGTACTTATCAAACTTAAGTTTGGTAGTTACATAAATTTAACTTCTTAACTGTAGTTTACGTTCTCGCAAATATGTACGTTAATATAGCTACTTAGTCTTCTAGTGAGAGATAAACGAAACAGCAAGACTTTATTTGAATAATGGATGACGAATAAAAACACTATACGGCAATTTATTTCTTGCATTTCTCCAGCAAGACGATTATTCAGATAAGCTTTCACTCGTCCAATTTGAGTCGTAAATCTATTATTTAATATTTCCATTTTTTGTCCGTTCTTCTTTATTCGACATTTTTATGCAAATAAGAACTTTGCCCGTCTCCGTCTCTATTCAAATTTACGGAATAAGTACGACTCTATCGTATAAATTATTCCCCTGTGTTAAAAAAAATTTTAATTTCTCGTGGGAATATTTGTAGTACAAGGAAGTTGGGAAAGCGTAATAAAATGAGGGGTAGTACTTTGTACAAAGAAATTATCGAGGACGCAGCATTCTGGAAACTGCTGGAGGAATTTCACGGAGTAATACAAAGGAGATGCAATTTATCTCGTATCAGTCACTAGTTCGTTTCGTCTACTTCAAACGGATTTCTTTTGTCAAATCGATGTTCCACGAATAAAACAATCTCACTTTGCATTTAAATATATGCGTGGTTATTACTTAGCGTTTCTCTATGTGTACCCACAGCTATGAAACTCCATCTAGAGTGAATATTTGTGAAAGGAAATCGTTGTCTGAAACGATCGAAATCGTAAAACAGGACCTCGCTTCGGCAAACACGCGAGCCAGTTAGTATTTGCATTTTGCTGGCTAACAACCAAGAATTGTGTATTTATTCTCTTGCAAAATATTTACGTTTCCAAAAAATCATTTGGTATTGCGTGGAAATACCAAAGCGCAATACTCTCGATGACGAAAATTGAACGAGTCAAAGGCCCACTACGTGGAAATTCTATATTCCGTTGTTTTTTCTTTTGAAAAATTGCACGTATAATAGTAAATGTCAAAGTGAACATTAGGTGGACCAGAATATTCAAAGAGTTTAAAGAAATCTAAAATAAAATAGAATTTGACAATAAGACTTATGAAAAAGCATTGATTTATAATAATATTATAGTAAACTTCAAAGTAAACATTAGGTGGATTAGAATATTTAAAAAGTCTAAAGAAATTAAAAATGAAATAGAATTTGAAAATAGAATTTATGAAAGAGCATTGATTTTTTATTTAAAAGTAGATTTAAAATGTAGAATAAAATTTGGTTGTAAGAGCAAATGCAATACCATTAATAATTTCTTTGAAAATTGATTTTCCTTCCAACTCTAAGGGAGTCTTTAACTTTACAGAAAAAGAATATAGAAATTATCACTACCCCATAATCAGTTTCTAAGTTGGTAGTTTAATAATTTAGAATGAAAAGCAATATTACTGTGTTTCGTCCCTGGATTTGATATAGTTAGACTCATCAGCAAAGGCTTATCTAGCAAATCCTGCCTTAAACGCGGTGTTATTAATCGTTTAAACCATCTGTTCAAACTAATTATATCGTAATAAACTATCGACTAATTGAAGACTGTTCAAACGATTAATGGTGTTACGTCTAAAGCAGGCTTTGCTAGATAAG